GACCTAATCCAATTACAAGGTAAGCAAAATTTATTAATGGGGCAAAGAGTTTTCTTTACAACAACAAACTTTTTGTGAGGTGGAGGCCAATCATCATCATCCTCAGAAGTATCTGTTTCGGTTGCCTTGATATCTTTACTTGGAACAGCAATTGGCTTCTGGTTATTACCACGAGTTGGATTGGAAGAGCCAGCAGTAGACGACGAGCTTGTATTAGTAGTTGTGGCGCGACCGGAAGATGTACAATTTAGTTTATTTTTTGAGCCAGAATCTGGAGTAGTTGTTTCAGGAGTAGAAACAAATTTTTTCACAACACAAATCAAGCAGTTGCAGTTAGTGTTGTCGGAATGCACGCCTTGAGCCGAGGCAAGTATTTGTTGAAGCACAGCAGGTTTAATTGATTCCGCCACTGAAATTTGAGTTATTAGTAAGATTTAGTCGGGGTGCCTCTCCCGGAGCACCACTTTGTCAACTAAAGGCTTACTTTGACAAATAAATTTTTAGGGAAGCTAGGTCCCAAGAGTTATTGAATAAAGTGAATTTAAATAAAATATTTATCTTTAAAATTAAAAATACAATTAAATATTTTTGTAAAGAATTAATGGAAAATTGAAAACTGAAGATGATAGGGAAGATCTGCCTATTGTTTATATAGGGGATATAATGGACAATAGGCAGAGATTTAAACAATAGTGAATAGAGAAGTGATATGGAAAATAGTATTAACTAGGGGTGAAAAGACAATAGTTTCCGGAAAAAGAAGAGAGAAGAAGGGGTCAAAGTGGATGTTTATGGGAAAATAATTTATGAAATTGCCTGTCGCGGACAGGTGAAATAAAGGGAAAAATAGGAGGAAATATTTAAATTTATTAAATAATTATAATTTCGTGTTCCTTACACGACACTAAGTTATCGCCAAATTTTCTTGCCTAATTCACCTTCAATGCCAAATTTACTTTCAAAAATGCCTATTTTATTGAGGTGTGATAATTTTTTCACATCGTTTCACTAGGAAGAATATAGATTAAGAATATAGAGATTTAGAACACATCCCCAATACACTCTTAATAAATTAAACAGATACGGATAATACCGGGATAACCTGCATAATTGGATTTTGATTGATATAGAAGGAGGCGAATTTGGATGGATTAACAGCGATATTGTGGGATTTGGGTGTTTAAAAGGGATATCGGTTAAATTGGGAAATATCGAGGGATTTAGAGAATAATGATCTCTTCAGAACAATGGTTTTATCAGAGATTAAAAGGGCGCCGCAGGCGAAAATTTTGAGAATTTTTGATGAACAAACAGTAAAGTTCCTAGGAGAAAAATTTTCACTTTTTGACTTAAAAACACGACAAAATTTGTCTAAAAATATCGAATATTTTTTCGTCATTTTCGTTTAAAAATGGAGTTTACGAAACAAAAACGAAACGAAAATATATTTTTTATGAAATACGAAACGAAAGAAACGAAAAAAATTATTTTCAAACGAAACGCGAAACGAAACGAAAATCATCAAAAATCCACGAAAATCTACGAAAACGAAACGAAAAATTTTTGTCCATCTCTGATCCAGAACCCAGTAGCCGTAGGTCTAAGAATTAGTAGAGTGAATTTTCGTAAATTAAATATCCCGATACCTTTGTGTCCGTATGCCTTATTAATAGTTAATTGATGTGAAAATCCTTCGAGATTAATATCTAAAAATCTCGTTATTATCCTTTAATATCTACCCTGGGTAATGTCTACCCGCTAGAGGGAGTAATTAATTAGGGAGGGTAATATATACGAGTTTGGAAATTTAAACGTGATTTAGGGCATTTGTTTGGGGGTAATTATTGTTTCAATCCATCGCTGGATGGGGTAATTAATGGAAGTGGGGTAATTTGAGGGATGGCAATTAATACAGGTATACGGTAATCGAGATTTTTGAATAAGCTTTTATTCAGTTTGTTTTGTTTTTTTAACTCTTAGCAAACATATCCATTAAAAATTCCATAATAAATATTTAGATTAATTAAATTGGCCGATTCTTTTTACACAAAGCCTGTTGAGCGTATTAAAAAAGCTGCAATTTCTATTGAAGAATTTTCCCTTCTATTGGCTATATTCTTCACTCAATCAAGTAAGAGCAGAAAAGAATCCTTTCTAGCTTCCATTTCTAGATGCCAAAGGATTGTCCCCAACAGGGAAAGAGTTGCTTTATCAAGAGTCTGTTCGTTACACTAAAATGCTTCTTCGATATAATCAACAAAAATTTGGGGAATTTTGTGGGGCTAGCCGTTTAGATGAATGTTTTCGTGTATTCAACTATTTTTTTGAGAATGGAAAGGCTAATTTAATGTTTGCTTCACATAAGAAATTTTATTATCCAACTCTTTATAAAAAGCCTGATTTTATTTAAAATTATTAAAAGAAATAAGATATGTATATTTAAATTAATATAAATTTGTAAGAAAATATTTTTTGATTTGATCCTAAAAATTCATTTAATTGATTAATAAAATTAAAAATAAAAGTAATTAAATAAAAATAATTAAAAAATAAAAATTAATTAATAATATTGATTTAATCTAAAAATTTTAAAATTTGATTCTAAAACCACCTTAAACCCGTTGAATTTGTTCGGATATCTTGTATATTTTGTTGGAATTGTTTAGATTTTATCTGGGACGATATATAAATGGAGCTGTTCACTGTAACCATAGCAGTATAACCGTACCAGACGAGGATTTTTCGGTTCGGTTCAGGATATCCAAAGATTTCTTTCAAAAAATTACTAGCAGACGCGCTGAAAAGTTGAGTCCCATGGAATGGATATAGAGGGATTAGGAATAATTAAGAATGGAGTTAGGAGATTAATAGTGATATCAAGGAATATGTGAGGATTACTTTTGATCTGAGATTTTTCAATTAATTCTCTCACATTCCCAATCAGGGGTCGGTCGGAGTTCCGATTTCCGAAAATTTAGGCTGATTTCCGACTTCCGAGTTTCAACTTTTGAGCCATTTCCGATTTCCTACATCTTCGTCGTCTCCGTAAGACTTCCCTCTAAACATTCTCCACTATTATCTACTCAATACTTTTCTATTTTCTTCCAAAAAATTACTTTAATTATTACCCAAAAATTACCCTTTCTTAAATAAATTCTTTTATCTTTCCTTTCCCTCCCATTCCCTCTTCCCCCCATCTTTTTATTTTTTACGAATGAATCATTTTGTAAACAAAACGAGGTATTTACATTGTGGTTGGTAGTAAAGGCTGGATGGTTGGGGGGAAAGCTGGTGGCAGGTAGACTTTTTGAATTCCCCTCATATAATTCTCAGTTATATTTTTTGCTTGCTAGCAGCTAGTTTCACCCCGTTATCTTTACCTTCCCTTTTTTTAATTTTAATTTTTTTTCTTGCTCTCTAAATATATTTTATTTTTAAGATTAATTTAATTTTTGAGGTTATTAGTTTTTAACATTTGACAGTTAATTACTAAAAAATTCCAAACAGAATTAAAAAATGTCCAAGACAATTTCGCACTCTTCCACCTTTCCATAATTTCACACTTCCTTCATCCACTCTTTAATTGTTTCACACATTCCATTTAATTTTAGTAATCCCAAAACTGAAGAATAAGTTTATTAACACCAATCTTTTATCTTTCTCTGAATTACACAACTAAACCTAACAATCAAACTTGGATATTAAAAATTTAAAGGACGACTTTTACATTTAAAGAAGTGATTTGGATTTCCAATCCAAAATTTGGAGATTTTGGATTTTTCCAATAAATTTTTTTAAATTATTTCCCATCCCTATATCTCGAGAAATTTTGAACCGATTTAAGTACATAATTTTATTGTAAAACAAAAATCATCAACCTATTTTGTGACTTCCTGCTCTGACTTTTTCCTTATTTTAACTCCGTCTTCAGTTGGAACCTCCTCCAGGTCCAAACCCTAATCTAAAGTTTCCAAATATCGGATTTATTACATTCATTGTTGCATTTATTTTTATTCATTTCCAAAAACTATTATTCTTTTTTTTAAATTCCATTTAAAATTTTTTCTTTTCCCGATATTTATTGTATAAGAAAAATCATTCAAAATCGACCTTCACATTTATCGAGAAAAAAGGAAAAAATGGCAGCAACTATTTCCAGCCGGCTATTTTTATTTCTTTTTAATAATCGCTAATGTTTGTCCAAATACTTTTTTTACCTTCGTCCAAGTATGGAAAGGAAAGAAAAATAAGACAAAAAAATCTTTTATAACTGAAAAGGAAAAATCGTAAAAAAAAATTTTTTAGACTAAGAACAGTCAGTTTGAGACAGTCAATTGACCTTAGTTAAGTCCCAGCCCTATAACTCGAGATATATTTAACCGATTTTGGTAATTTTGGTATTAATGAATAGAGAAGAAAATTCTCTATAAAATACTAAAAAATAGAAATTTTATTTTAGAAGGTAAAAAAGTTATAGTCCAATACTTAAATGATGCTGATGAGGCAGAAAAGCCTTCCTTTTCCAAATTTCTTTTTTTTTTGCTACTAAAATTTTCTAATAATTTTTTACAAGTATTTAATTTAGTAGCAAATTTAATTCTCTATTTAATTATATCAACATTTTTCCAGAAAGTTTTGTTTTCATAAAATTATAGGACTTGGACATTTTAATATAAGGCTTATAAGAGCCCATAAATTAATCGAAATAAGACGTCGGCTGGATTGTAAAATAAAATTATTTCAAATAAAACGATAAAAATAAATAATGATAAAAATAAATGATTAATATTTTTATGCTTTTTTACTAAAATTTTATTTTTCGCAACTAAAGTAAGATTATCAGAATTATAAATTTTGTTGTTATTAAGAGGCGTGAGAAGTCAAAAGAAAAATTTTATTAAAAATTAACCTTAAAATATTATTAATTTATAGAAAAATTATGTAAATTAATTTATTTTAAAAAAATTTTAAATTGAAAGCTTGATTTTAAAATTAATTTAATGGAAAAATCAACAACAAAAAATTTAAATAAATTTAAAAATTATTTTTTAATTATTTTATTCTTAATTTCATCAATTTTAATAATAATAAATGCACAATTTCCACAAAATCAAATGGGAGGTGGAGGACCTCCCCCACCTCCACCCCCTGTAGCTATTCCTGTTGGTGGAGGTAATGTTCCTGTAGGGGGTGGGGGTGGACAGAATATTGGTCCTCAAGGATCTCAACTTTTTTCTGGAATTGGAGATAATTTACTTTATGGAGGTAATTCTGATTTTTGTTTTGTTTGAATTTAATTCTGAAATGTTTTCTAAGTTATTCTGATCATTTTCTGAGTTAATTCGGTATTTATCAGGGCTGGCGTAATCAAAAAATAAAAAGCGAAATGCGGAATGCGAAACTTTTCGCGCCAAAAAATGTGAAAAATGCGAAAGATGCGAAACGCGAAAATGCGAAATCGCCCAGCCCTGGTATTTATTAACTCTGAAATGTTTTAATTAAATTCTGATTTTGTTTTGTTTGAATCTAATTCTGATTATGTTTCAATTTAATTCTGATTTTATTTTGATTGAATTAAATTCTGATTATTTTGTTTTTTGTTTAAATTTAATTCTGAAATGTTTTACTAAGTTATTCTGATCATTTTCTGATTTAATTCTGTATTTATTAACTCTGAAATGTTTTAATTAAATTCTGATTTTGTTTTGTTTGAATTCATTTCTGATAAGTATGTTCAGATTTAATTCTGAGATGTTACGTTTTTTGTGTTTGTTGTTCAGATTTCCTATAACTCTGGAAGCTTTAAATAAAATTCTGATTTTATATCCAAACTAACCAATATTTTATTGTTTCAGTAAATTTGGTCCCTTTTGGCCCAGAAGTTGGCGATAGAAAAGTCCATCCAGGATTTTTGACAGCTGGACAAACAATAGATTTATATATGTATTTTCCTTTTTATGGAGGTCTTTACAACTATACAACTGTAAATAATTAAAAATAAATATTTTTTTAAATAAATTAAAAAAGTTGTCAGTAAATGGATATATGGCTTTTGCTACAGTGCTTGACCAAGGCCCCACAATTGTAAATTTAAAATATTCCTAAATATAAAAATAAATTAAAAAGAATGTCGGTCCCGAAGCTACAGATTGGCCTAGACAACAAGATCCAGCAATGATTGGCCCTTATTTATGCAAACAACAAGTATTTATTCTTTCCCTTCAAAAAACCCCCTTCCTTCCCTTAATTAGATACCCCAAGATAGCAATGTAGCTTTAAGATCGGGTGTTTATTATCGTTTAATTATGAGACAATCAATGTTTGGTAGAGGTTCTGGAATGAATGTTGGAGGGCCAGATGTTGGGGGAACAATGCCGGAAAGTAGTTTCTTTGGTTTTCGTTTTCAAAAATGTCCGGCGGCTGCTGACAATTATGTAAGGTGTGACGCTGCTGGAGATTATTTTCTTGATCAAATGATGCGTTGGTTACAGGGTAATTAATTGTTTGAATAAAATTCTGATTTTCATCCAAACATTTCTCTCCAAATACTCAGAAGGAAAATTTGTTCTGATTTAATTCTGATTTATTAAAAATAATGTTTCCAAAATATAGCATACTCCTTAATAAATGATTGAAGAAACATGTTCAGATAAAATTCTGATTTTTTCCGAACATTCTCTTAAGTGAATTAGGATGCTTGTTCAGATTTAATTCTGATTTTTTTATTCATTGTTTCCCAAACATAACATATTCCCCAATAAATAACTTCAGAAATATGTTCAAATAAAATTCTGATTTGTTTCCAAACATTTCTCTCTAAATTTTCAGAAGGAGTAGCAGGGGCAACAGCATTTCGTGCAGATGCTGCTTTAGTCGTTACCTGGTATAACACAGCCTCTGCAATTTCTGGTAGAGCAGATATTGATGGAGGGCAATTAGCTACTTATCAAGTTGTTTGGTTAACTGACCAAGCTGGGAGACTTAGTTATGTTATTTTAAATTATGACAAACTTGGATTTGATGCTGCTGATATTCGAATGAATTCTAGAAGTGGAAGGTGTCAGGTATTTTATTTTGAATTTTAAATTCTGATTTTTTTAAAAATCTTCAGGCACTTTTCAATGGAGGGAATCACACAGGCTTTGTGCTTGTAGACCCAACACAAAATTACAAAAACACCCCCAAAGTCCTAGCTCAGCGTTCTGGCGTTCCTCACATGGTTCGTGGCCGTTATATGTTTAGAGTTGATGATGTTGTTAGGCCTGGAGGGTGTTCAAATAAAACTGGGGGAACTTGTAAGTTTTTTAATTTGGAGTAAAAAATAATTTTTTAAACAGACCCAATAATGATATATCCAAATATTGTAAATATGTTGGGTGAAATGACTGTTGATGTTAATGCTATTTGTTTGGATAGAACACAAACATATATTTTAATGATTGAACAAAGACAGGTAATTAATTCAAACTTGTTTTTCTGTTTTTTCTGATTATGTTTTTATTTAATTCTGATTTTTTTTTACTTAATTCTGTGTTTTTCTAACATGTTTTCTTCTTAGTTCTGATGTTTTTATTAAATTCTGATTAGTAAAACACTAAAACGGATTTTTCTCAACCTATTTTCCTCCTATTTATTCTGATTATATTTAATTCTGATTTATTTTCCACTTTAAATTCCAACTTGTTTTCCTCAGAACTGTTGATGTTTTTCCTTGTTTCTGATAATGTTTTAATTTAATTCTGATTTTTAAAAACTGTTTCCCAAACTTGTTTTTCCTTCTCTTTAAATTTAAAAATTAAAGACAGCTTCTTGTATTGTACTTAATGCAGCAATGGCTAGATGTAATATTCCAAAAATTTATGATTGGGGAACTAAAACTGTGTTTTTCCAACCACAAAGTCAAGGAGCTAATGATGAAAGGGCTTTTGTTGGATATATTTATTTTGGTTAGAAAATGTTGAATTTTTCGGAAAAAATATTTTAATTATTTTTTAGTTCCCCCAACATTAGATCCTATGCGTTTGGATGTTGGCAATATTTATGGTAACTACCTATAAATTCCTCCAAAAAATAATCTAACCAATTTAAAGATTGGTACAAAAATCCCTTACCAAATATTGTTATGCCCATTTCTTGGTATCCTCGCAACTTTACAAATCCAGATTTAAACTTTTTTGATCAAAACATGCATATAAGTGATGATGCCGTTTATGGTGTTCAATTGGGGTTATATGTTATTGGTTATAAAGAATCTAAGGATGACCAAGTAAAAACATTTTTTAAAAGCCACAACCGCCGCAGTTATAACACTTACTGCCACCTCCTTCGCAGAGGCTATTATTTGTCTTTAGCATGTCTGAACAGTTACAAATCTTATTGGCCAATATTAGCTTAGGAGTGGATACTATCGATATCATTAAACGAGGAGAATATCGCGGTAATGTCCGATGTGGTACTGCTGAGGAGCTGGCAGCAACTAACCCGAACTTTCCGGCGAAACACTAGACAACACACTTATTTGCCTTAAAAGATGTTTAAATTTAGATCAAAAAATTCCGCCCCGAACATCGAGTTCTTTGTAGATTAGCAACTTATTCTAATAGAAATACTTATGAGTATAGATGGAATGCACAGAAAGAGAGAATTAATTTAAATCAAGTTGAACAATGGTTTTTAGAGAAACTTTAAGGAAAAATTAAATTTAATTTAAAGGTACATGAATGATTGGGAAAGAATGAATGAACTTTTCACTTTTAGAGTTGGATATTTAAAATTATCTCCTTTAAGAACAAATGAACAATCAGCGTTTCAAGCCCCTCAACTTCTTTCCGGGTAATTATTATTCAAAAATTTTGCGCCGGGCCGGGGTGGAAATGATGTGTAGGTAACAGGGTGCCGATTTTACCCTATTTATAGGGCATTTGCCCTATTTTTGCCACATTTCTGCGTGGCTGCGCACTATTTTAGTGGTTTGGAATCGGTCACCCTGGTAGGTAAATATACTTGATGCGGAATATAGGGAATGATTTATCTAGACGTATTATGCTATCCAAATAGCTAACTTTTCTTTCACTGTTTATATCCTAAGGTTTTATCTGATCATTCTCCTCCTCTTTTTACATTCTTCAAAGCAAATCAAAGTTCACCTTATCTGCCTTTATTTACTTTGAAAATTAATTTAATCTCTCCTTAATTAGCCTTGTTTCTGCCCCAATTTCCCTTCACTGGCTTTGGACTATTGGAAATCCTCGATATGAAACAACAACATTTTCTCGTCAAGAACAAGACGTTCAACAAGAATTTATTGCTCAAAAAGCAAAAGAAATGTGTCATGATTGGTTTGATGAAGATGGGGCCCAATGGAAGTTTGTTACTCTGAAATTTTTTAGATTTAATTCCAAATATTTCAAAGCTTTATTCGAGATGTAGAAACAAATGCTTCCTGTCCTTGCATGGAAAATCAGGCCAAATTCGACTTGGGTCGATTTATGCCCCATCCACGTTGTTCACAAACATTTAGGGATATAACCTGTACTACAATGATTGGGGCAAAGAATTGTTATATGAGTGTAATTATTTGTTTTTATATCCATACCAGAGCTGTTTCGAAACAAAATCTTCGAAAATCTGATCCCAACTCCGGGGATTTCCCAGACTTATGGGACGAGTTTGTCGGAAATCAAAAATCGAAAATTTTGGTGAATATTTTACTCTTGGTGCTGAGAAGTAGTAATCGGTTGGCGGACTTTGAAATTCCGGAATTTTGGGATCATGAACCGATTTTCAAACAGCTCTGCTCCCCTCCCTCTCTCTCACTCTTCATTCCCCCTTTCAATTTCCAGTCATCCAACATTTACGGCTCTTATTCTGGCAGGCATTTTGATTATGGTTATGGATATAGTGAATATAGTAGAGGCGATTTTTATAGAGATAGAGGGCCAGAAACGGGAGGTGAAGGAACTTCTTTTGGTGGTGGATATTATGGAAGGGATGGTCAAGATAGGGGAACGTTAGTTTACTTTTTGAACAAAACAAGTTTATGTTTTTATTTTTAAAGACGATTTCCAACACATTATGGACAAGTTTGTTGTTATGATGAAAAGGGTAATTAATTAATTGAACTTAAATTAGGGTGGCGATTAAGTTCTGTCATAAAGGAGATAGGTCAAATATGTATATGTATTTTATTTTAAGTACATGCCAATGTGCGTCATATGCCCGTAACATAAGAATGTGGCCTCCCTCCAAATCCAATGATATCCCTTTAACTGAGTTATACCGTTAGATTGGTATAAGGACTATGACATAATTTAGAAGGTGCCACCCTCCAAAAATTCTTAACTTTCTCTAAAAATTTTAAAGGATTTTTAATGCAAACAACATACCAACCAGTCATTAAAGTAATCGAAGAAACTCCCTATAATCCAGGCTTTCCACTGAGAGCCTATGAATTTGGTACCCCTCCATATATGGGGCAATTTGAAGTTCCTGGTCTTTCTGCCTTTCACCATGATTATATGCCTTATTTTCTTTGTTGTAAATTTGCCAAATTTCGTTGCCAACTTTTTTATTGGAGAAGGCCAAGTAGTGGATGTCAACAATATCAACCACCAGCTATTGGTTTTTTGAAGAGATTTTTTCTCAAAAATTTTCTTTTCAAAAATAGGGGAAGCAATGGGTGCTGGTACTTTCCACACTATAGACAACGACAAATTTGTTTTTAACGAGCCTGGTGTTTACACACTTCTCCACATTCCCAAAACAATAAATAATCCCGAAGTTCGAATCCAAATTCGTTTGGAACGTTATCCCAACAGACGTGTAGATTTTAGTATGCTAGGCCGTTATCTCTCTCAAGAACAATTAGTTCAACCTACGAATGCTACTGTAATTACTGGAATTGCTTTGGAGGCTACTGGGACTGATGTAAGGAATTTTTGGATGTTTCATTCAATATTAGACTTATAGAGAGTCTTAGTGTTGGCAAGAGGAGACACTCGACGATTTCGCTATCGAACTTCAGTTATTGTTGGAAATATACTTCGGTATTTTGACACAATGAGGCTGCAACGATTTAAGGGTTAAGGCTTCTAATTCTAATCCCTTAACTTATTCCAAAACATTTCAGGAGTTCTAATTTATGTAAATAACGTGGAAAGAGGCCAACCAGAGGTTTATGTAGTTTTGGAGGAAGCCCAAATTGGTGTTCGAATCAGAGAAAGTTATTCTGTTGATATTGACAGAATGCCAATGTATCAAGAATCTATGGGTATTTTGGATATTGCTTTAAGTGTTCCTCCTCAATATGGAGTGGTAGGGGAAATTAATAAATATTTATTTTTAATTAATTAATTTAAAAAAGCAACCAGATGGAGATAAAACAAGAGATCAAGAAATGCGTCAACGTTATAATTTGCCCCGAGTGTCAGGTTTAATGCGTCCATTCCCTGATACAGTTACAGGCTCTATATACAGCACTTTGACTTTAAATGAAGTTAATTCTGAATCAATTCGGCAACAAATAATTACTTACTATAGAGTACCCGGGTCTGGAGAACGTTTTACTGATTATCAACAACAAACTTTAAATCAGTATATGACACCCACAGATAATATGTAGGGGAATTTATTAAATAGAGTAGAATTAGATAGGGGCTGGGACTTAATCGGGGTGTTTGAAGGTATCTCAAATTCACACCTTATGGGAGCAAATCAGAGCATTTTACAGAAGGAATACCTCGATATTTTGTGGAGGCATGTTTTGCCTATGATAGATCCATTTGTTCCTTATTCCTAGGACTAAACCATCCTGACAAACACCCTTATAATTAATATCATTAACACAACTTGAAGTTCCTTCACAACCCAACAAATCCTTTTTTAGGTTCACAACCAGCCGAGAGGAGGACAAAAAGTTCGAAGCCTTCCCGGAGGCCGCAATGAAAAACGAACCAATCTACAAAACTGCCCAAATTTACGAAACCCCCCAATACAGATTTGTGCCTAGAACAGGCTCTGTATTAATGCAGATATTACAACAATGCAATGATTTAGCTTCGAGAGATACTCGTAAGAGGAGGGAAAAAATAAAAAAATAAAATCTTTTAAAAGTCGGAATGCAACCTTATCAAGGCCAACTTTATTGGGATTGGGCTTCTCAATGCCCAGACAATCCAGGCAAAATACTTCAACATTGTGGAGATAATGTTCCTTGTCTTTATGATTTTACTCTTTTAAATGCTGAAGTATTAGGGAATGAAGTAAAGGATACTTGGAATGCTTTTTTCCATGATAGGGGACAAGCAATTAGAAGTTATAATAGTTGTGGACCTATAAATATTGAATATCCTGTAAGTGTTTTTTGAAGGATTTTTGAATATGTCCTCTCCTCTTGTAGGAATATATGGTTAAAACGCCAGCATTAGCTCCAAGTTATATGCAAGGAGATGTTGCTAGATTTGAATGTTTTCAGGCACATTTTTATTCTTGATTATAATTTTAAATATTTTCAGACTCATTGGATAAAGGGTGATTCAGAATATAAATGTTCTCTTGTTGTTGATTATAATGTGAGTTTGAAGTTTTAAAGCTAGTCTGAACCTCGAGCTTATTGTTTCATAATTATCTCTCATACTATTATAATTGTATCTGAATGGGATTTAACGAGAAATATAGACCAGACTGGAACTCGAAATCTTGTCTCGGTCCAGTCTCTATTTGGAAGCATAAGGTTGTACAGACATGCCAGTGAGACTAGAAAGATTTTTCATATTCTTTTTCATTTCCATGTTTTGTCTTTCAAATCCTCCTTCGAACATTCTTTAATTATATCAATTTTCAGTACCCCAATAGCTATAGATTTGAATGGAATAAAGGTGGGCAGCCTTGGTGCCGTTCTAGAGAAATGGATAATATGTTAACTTGGTTATTAGGCATACTTGGGTTTGTTTAAATAAATTCTTGTTCAATTTAAAAAATTCTTAAAAATTCAGAACAGTGGGTATTATACTTGTAGTTGTTCTCCTATTCCTCAGTTGTTGGGTTGTTAAAGTTAAAAGAAGGCAGGATCAAGAAAAGGTTCCTGGAGGTACTCTAAGACAACAACAACAATTTATGGCACCAGTAAATAAACATTTATTTTAACAAAAATTTTTTATTGAAAAATCAGGGTTTTGGAGGAGCCGAATCGATGCCTCCAAAAAGTGTTGGATCTGACAGCACTTTAGAATTGAGACCTAAAAATGGCGCCCCCTCTCAAATTGCTGAGTATTCCCCTGAATTGAGAACTAGACACCCTACCAGTGGAGCTGGATTGCCCGATGAGACATCTCAACTTTTGGGACTACACACAAGTGTTTAATGATATTCAACAATTGAATAAATTTACTATAATATTTATTATTATCTTTGTCTACATTTTGATAAAATTCTTTTGTTTATTTAAAATTTTGAGAAAGATTGTCAAATACAATGTACTTAGACGAAGGTGGATTGGGCTGAAGAACAACAATACATATTTATTTGGAAAAAGATAGTTATATCAATGAAAATCCGATCGTTTACTTATTATTAGGGCTAGCAATTGTATGGAAACCCAATTTTTACTGAATTCTAAGGGTCTGAAACGCAAGAAAACCACACTTTCCGAGCTGCTTCTTTTAAAAAATGTTACATATTTCATCCATATTTGGGGATTTATCTTATATTTTTACCTATATTTTATTTGCATATTTACAGTTTTTTCGTCTATATAATTGCCAGCCCTAATTATTTATTAATAAAGAGACAGTTTAAAACATTCTAAAATTTCATAGCAAGTTCATCATCCTTGAAAATTTTTGAAAAATTCAGTACAAAAATATGGGTCATCCAAAAAACTCAAATCAAAATCATCTAGAAAGAGTGAATTATTCCTGATTTTGAACTACAATCATTTTGTAAAATTTCTTTTTCATTTTTCTTTTTTAGTCGGTATTCCCGTTTGTACTCACGCAATTTATCTTTATTCTTCTGGTAGTATTTTCGATCAGATTTTTTCCTATTTTCTTTATAATTTGCAGAATTCCGAATTTCTCTTATCTTCTCTTTATTTTTTTGGTAATAATTTCGATAATTTTCTTTTATTTTCTCTTTATTTTTCAGGTAGTTTATTTTATCAAACATTTTCTTATTCTCTTTTATCTTCTCTTTATTCTTCAGGTAATAATTTTTATAATATTCTTTTTTCTTCAACTTTTCTTCCTCTTTTGTAATAGACTTTGGATTTAACGTTTCTTTATATTTTTGAATTTGAGGATTAACCGACGACGATCCAGCCCCCTCATCATTTAATATTTCAGTTAAATCCTTTGATGTTTCCCCAACTCTATTTAATTCTTTTTGATTTTTAACAGAATTAATTAAACTCCAAAATATTGAATTGAAGATTAAAAAGATTAAAACTTTAATTAATTTCATTCTAAATTTATTTAAAATATTAAATTTTAATTTTATCACTAATTCATTAAAAATAAAAAAATACTTAAAATTCAAATGAAAAAATCGGAAAATTTTATTTTTATTTCTTAATATCTTAATCGTATCCCCTCAAAATCTCTATTCCTTAAAATCTCTACTGGGCTAAAATGCCTTATAATCTCTACACAGCTAAAATGCATTAAAATCTCTACTCGGCTAAAAATTATTAAAATAGCTATTCCTTAAAATCTCTATTCCTCATAATCTCTACACGGGTAAAACGCCTTAAAATCTCTACACGGCCAAAAATAGGATAAAATTCTATTTTTCATTCGGAAGACTTTTGAGTGCCAACGTTCAGTGCGGAAACGTTGTTCTGATTTCTGGCTTTCTTTTGATACTATTTTGCTTGTATTGTTTTTGCCGCTGCGGATGAACCCAGGCATGTCCAGCGGAACGACAGCATACAATCACCGCAAGCAAAATGAACACGACCGCAGCGAAGCAGTCGTGTATTATATCTTCGATATTTACGGCGGATACAAGCAGATATCCGCAGCCATTTTTAAATCAATTGTATCCATATCCGTATCCATTACCAAGTCTGGGTTTTCCAATGAAAAGTTCATATTTTACACTTTTGTTGAGACTCTACCATCCATTTGCACGGTGTAGAGATTTTAATTATTTTTACCCCAGTAGAGATTTTAAGGAATAGTTATTTTAAGGAATAGAGATTTTAAGCATTTTTAGATTAGTAGAGATTTTAAGGAATAGCGATTTTAAGGAATAGAGATTTTGTATGGGAGCCATCTTAATGAAGGGAAAGTGTAAGTGCAATACAATATTTTTATTTTGTGTTTTTAATATTTTTGTTGTTATGAAATTTCAAAGGGCAAGTTTGACAATTTTTGAGAATATTAAAAATAAATTTTGGGCCTCTTTGGCGCAAGAGAATAATTATCCATTAAAGACAAAAAAAATTACGTAATCTCAAAGGAGAATCATCAAACTTTTTTTCAACTTAGGACCGCACTTGTTCATGGACAAAATATCAAGATGCTTGCGGATATACGCCTGTATCGTCCGTATATAACCAGATAAGGATACCAAAATCTATGTCCATGAGCAGGTCTGCTTAAGTTCATGAAAATATTTTTAAAAAACAAAAATTTAAACGAAGATTTTTCAATTCCGATATTTTTTTAAACTTATTTCCTATTTCCGATTTTCAAAAATTTTTTTGTTTCGTAACAACTGATCAAGCTTCATGAGAACAAGTTGATGGATATATTAAAATGATTAGTTAGACATTCATTATTCTGTGCATCAGAGGTGAATCGGAACTGAGGTAGGTGCAGGAAATCAGAAATGGCTCAAAAGTCAAAACTCGGAAATAATATTAAATTTTCGGAAGTCGGAAATCGGAATTACGATTCATCTCTGCTGTGGATCAACAAATTTGTTCCCCTCAAATTTGTTCCGTTTTAAATATCTATTAATTTTATATTTTATTTTTTAACTAATTTTTCGTTTAATATTTTTGCAGTCCACAAAATTCTGATTTAAGAGCATTAAAATTCCTAACCCGTATTGAAAACTTGCTTTCGGACTTTTCATTATTTCTTCGTGGCCATCGATATAAAATTTTTATTTTCTGTCGACTTTTTTTGTCTAAATATTTTTTTCTTCCTTTAATTTGTCTTAATTAAAGGACAAAAATATTCCTCAACTATGCCCTTTCAAAAAATATTTTATGTCTCTCTTAATAATAATATCTTTACAAATCAACAAGTGATTGAGCAATTTTTTAGTCTAATATGTAATTAATATGTAAATAAATCAAATTTAAGAAAGAGAATTTTTTCGATAAAAAGACGACAGAAAACGGATTTTTATTTTATTTAGTCTTTTTAATAGAATATTAAGGATTTGAAAATAATTACCGTAAAAGCTCTAATAGAAGCCCTGGGCTTGTATTCTTCAATACCCTTCATCGGTTAGGCTTATAATAGTGAATGGGCTTCTATTAGGAATGAACTTCTATTAGAGCTTTTACGGTAGCTCTAATAGAAGTGTTAAGAAATTATACGACCACCTAGCTTTTTGTTCTTATAAATTATAAATTATTTAAAATTCAATTAAGAATGAAGTTTATTAAAGTTTTAATCTTTTTAATCTTCAATTCAACATTTTGGAGTTTAATTAATTCTGTTAAAAATAAAAAAGAGTTAATTAAAATTGGGGAAACACAAATATTAAATGATGAGGGGGCTGAATCGTCGTCGGTTAATCCCCAAATTCAAAAATATAAAGAAACCTCAAGTCCTAAGTCTATTGCAAAAGAGAAAAAAAAGTTGTGGAAAAAAGAATATAATAAAAATTATTATCAGAAGAATAAAGAGAAGATAAAAGAAATTAAGAATTCTGAAAATTATAAAGAAAATAAAAAGAAATCTGATCGAAAATACTATCAGAATAATAAAGAAAAGATGCAAGAACTGCAGAAGGAATACTACCTGAAGAACAAGCAAAAGTATATTGAAAAGGCGCAAAAATGGAATAAAACTAATGTAGAAAAGAGGCGAGTATATTCTCGTAAATACAGTTTAAAAAAGAAAAATGAAAAAGAAAATTTACAAAATGATAGTTCAAGCTTAGGAAAGACTCAGGTAATAGTTTGGAATTCGCCCCTCCCCGCTTTTTTCCTCCGTTTCTCTGACCATTTTAAGCTTTTTTAATGATATATAATTTATTATATATCATTCGAAACAGCTCTTCGGGCTTGGTCGAATGATACCAAAATTGGCTAGATCTGATGATTCTTACAAATATAAAGCCAAATCCTCGTTGGGAAAATTTTTTGCGCAGATTCAAAGGAATAAAATAAACGGTCTTTGTTCACTTAAGTCAAATTTCGTTGATTTTAATGTCATTCGACTCAGTTCGAATGGCTCTTTCGAATGATATATACTAATTTGCCATAAAATATGAGAAGCTAGGAAAAAATAGAAAGGAAAAAAGGGGGGAATGGGGGCGAATACCAAACCATTACCAAGACTCAATCTGATAATAATCAAGAAACTTCATTTGTTAATATACAGACTGATGAATATAGCAATAAAGCTAAATTGCCAGTTGATTTCGATGATCATGAGGAGGGCGAATTTAATAAAAACGAGGTTGAAAATAATCAAATTGTAGTAGAAGAATCGAATAAAGTTAACAAAAAAGGCAAAAAACAAATAAATTTAAATCAAAAATATTTTCCTTTTGATCTTAACGAAGAACCTAAGGATGAACAGGAAGACGATTTTTAAATAAAGATTAATTTATAAACGAAAAAGAAAATTTCTTCAAATGTTAAAAAATTTGAACTTTCGGAGCCATCTGGAAATTCATTCAAAAGACGACTGACTGTTTTTAAATATTTTTTTTTCAATTTATTTTTTTCATATCTTTTAAACAAGCACTATATGTACATAGTAAATTTTGCTTGGATATCGGAATTTTGGTCACCGGCGTTGGTCACTAACTAAAAATCCGAGGTATTGGGTATTGAAATTTTGGTCACCAAATGGAGAAAACGCATTTAAAATTTTGTACAAAGAGATCCAATCTGTTGTTCACTCTATCTCTCTATTGATCAACTAATCTCTGTTAATTCGGTGGGGTATGATTCCGTGCACACATTCCGTGCACACGTTTCCGTGCACACGATTCCGTGCAGACACGTTTCCGTGCACACGATTCCGTGCAGGCACGTTTCCGTGCACACGATTCCGTGCACACGTTTCCGTGTCCGTTATAAAAAACACGTTTCCGTGCCCAATTTCTTTTTAATATAATAAACCATAAGAAAAGGTTTTGAGGGGTACAGTGAATATCAAGGGACTTGTGCATGACATCGAGACATCAACAAGGGGATATTGGTGGATTTGGAGGAAAAAATCTCAAAAAAATTGTTTTTTATTTTAAAAAAATTAGAAGAACCCTGCTTCTAACCTATGACCAACAGAATCTTCGCTGGAAAAACTGTTTTTGTGCTGCTACGGAGGGTAGGCCGGGCATGGTCTTCGCTACACGATGGCCGTGCTTCGCTGCGGTCGTGCTCGCTTCGCTCGCGGCGACCGTAGCGAAGCGGCGGCCGTCGTTCCGCTCGACATGCCCGGCTTCCTCCGCAGCGGCAAAAACTTTTTTCCGTGTAAATTTTTTGAATTGAAAAGAAAAATACTGAAGCAAAGTTGATAAGTTGATTACAAGGGGGATTAAAATACTTAAAAAATATTTAAAATTTTATAAAAATTTAAAAAAATAAAAATATTTAAATAATTGGGCACGGAAACGTGTTTTTTATAACGGACACGGAAACGTGTGCACGGAATCGTGCCCGCACGGAAACGTGCCTGCACGGAATCGTGTGCACGGAATCGTGTGCACGGAAACGTGTGCACGGAATCGTGCGCACGGAAACGTGTCTAACCGCTGTTAATTAATTAATCACTCTAACCAAAATTCCGTAAACCTTTTGCTTCGTAAACGAATATACAAGTGCAGAAAATTTTCGTAACTTTTTTCATAACTTTTTCAAATTTAATGTAAATTGACATTTCTTTTTTTATTTTATTAACAATTCTTTAAGAAACTTAATGGTATCCAACAATAAAAATTTGATTCACTTCAGACAGTATCATCCAATCTTACTAATTTTGGTATCAATTGATTCGTTACTGACTTTTAGTTTTTTTATTAAAATTTGGAAAAGCAGAAAAAAAACCATTTTACCGAATTCGTCCCAATAGATTTCCTAAAAGTTTTAATAGCGGAAATTACTTTTAACAATGTAGTTACTTTTACTTTTAACTTAAATTACTTTTAACAATTGAATTCAACGAATTCAACATATTATAGCCCATTTCGTCTTATGTATCTTCCGGCCAATCCCTTAGGTTAAAGTTATACCTCGCTTCTACTGAATAAAAATCAGGGTCATTCTCTCATTCTCCAATTATTAAACCTTCGCGAATTCAACCTCCATCAATATTTTTATCCATTATTAAATCCCTTGTATACATCCATTCAATAAATCCCGCTAAATCAATATACGCAAGTAATGACTTGCTATCTATATTTTATTTTCTCTTTATTAACCCGTCGTTTTTGGATTAATTTTTTACGAAATTTTATTTTCCGAAAGCTTTTTCAATTTATATTTTGCCTTGCTTCAAGTTTATTTATTTTTATTACAATCCTTTTATTTCTTTATTTTTTACAAATCCAACCCTATTTTAATACGAAAAATGACTTTAAAAGTAAAAATTTGTTTGTTTTACAAAGAACGGTTGTATTTCCTCGAGGAGGGGATAACTTGGAATTTGATCAGCCTTGGGACTTGTCTGAAACTAAAATTTATGAGAATATAGATGAATTGTTTAGGAATAATAATGCCAATACTAAATATATTACTGGAGATTTTACTTACAGGTAAAAGCAAAATTAATTTTTAAGGAATAATTTTGGAACGAAAATTTCAAAACTACCTATATTCCCTTCAAATATAATATTTATAGTAAAGTAATAGTAAAGCAACAGGGGTGGGTCGGAATTCCGATTTTCGACGTTTTTTCCTTTCGATTTCCGAAAAAAATTTTGATTTTCAATTTCCGAGTTCCGACTTTTGAGCCAGTTCCGATTTCCTTCTATTTCTATTTCCGACACCTCAGACTGTTCCGACCCACCCCTGCTCGGCAGGGAGGAATTGATGCTGTCTAGGTGGTGTGTGGTGTTGGGAGTCCCATGTGACGATACTGAACAAATATAGTTTTTGAATACAGGGAAGGCATTTGATTAGACTTAGGACTATGACTGTATTATACTTGCCGGTAAAGAGACCGGCTTTCCCGGGATTGATAAGTCTTAACAGCAATTATGATTAGGATCTTAGCTTCTTTTCCTTGCTTCTACATACTTTGGTCTAATCAACTGCTCTTTCCACTATTCCTTCACTAAATTCGAAGGCCTTATCTGATCATTCTCCCCCCCCCTTTTTTTCCATCCCTGCTTAGCAATATTAAACAAATAAATTTAAAAACTCCAGTCCAGGACTTGGAAATTTAATGTTTCAATTTGCTGCCTTACGAGTTTTGGCTGAACGCGAAAATGCCTATTTATTGCTTCCAAGTAACTGTAAACTTAGACGAGCTTTTAATTTAGACAAAAAAGTTTTGTTTATTGAAGCAAACCAATTACAAAAATTAATTGTTGAGAATACTGCAACGAGTAAAAATTTTGAGGTAATGACTAGGGCTAGGATTTTTAGTCACTAAAATGTCAAAAATATTTAGGCGCCTATATAGGCACTAAAAACTGCCAAAATAGGTACGTAAAACCCAAAAAAAACGTTTCAGCTCAGGCCTATTTAAGAAAAAACAGGCATTTTGCCTAAAATCCTTGCCCTAGTAATCACAGTTTGTCTTGGCAAAAAAACTTTTTTTCTCTCCTACAGGACTGCTGCAAGTATATCCCTTCATTTAACGATAAAATAAATTGGAAAGATAAATATAAAAATATTTCAATAATTAATGGATATTTCCAATCTCATCGTTATTTTCATCCAGCACATGTTCAATTAGTTCATAAAAATTTTAATTTTCTTCCGGGGATTGTTGAGAGAGCGAATTTAATTTTGAATAATATTTTGGTTGGAAATGGAAAGGAAATTAAGTAATAATAATTTTAAAAAATTAAAAAAATTTCATTATGTGGCATCTTTTTTCTCTCTTCCAGAATTCCCCTCTATTTGCCGATGGCACAAAATCAAATAAGAAGGATTCACCTAGCCTGTTTTAGAACACATGTTCCGGTAACTCTGAGTCCGTAGATCTCGCTAATCCTTTAAAAAATTTTATTGGAACATTGTACTCTATTGCAAATAGTAATAGTTTCTGTTTACCGCTGGTATACACACCAGCATAGGAGGCATATGTAGGAGACACACCGGCACACGAGATCCTTCAAAGTTAATTAGTTCCAGTAGCAAATAGATGGGCATTCTAGCAGAGATGAAAAAAGGTCTCTTAACAAACTCTTACCAAATTTTTCAAAGTCCAAATTCTCCCCTTCTTATCGGCATTCATGCTAGACACGGGATTGATTTAACTATGCATCAGAGGAATCAGCGTTATGGACATACTGTGGCTACCTCTGAATATTACAAAAACGCTATGGAATTTTTTACAAAAAAAATTAAAAATAATTTGATAATATTTTTGGTTATTTCTGATAATATGTCTTGGGCAAAAAGAAATATTGGAGGAATTGAAGGAAATGAAAAAAGAATCTTTGTTGGAAAGGATAGTTGAAAAACGAGATTATTTTTTACCTTCATGGATCCCAATGAAATAAAAAACAGAATTTTATGGAAGTCTCGATAAGCATGAGATAGGTAATAAAAGTTTACACCCGGGCAGGCATCGATCTTTCAAACTCCTGGAAGTTATTATTTGGCACATATACTAAATACAGGTGTTCTACCGACTGAGCTTATCTTTTAATAATAGTCTTAAACTCCTGGGCGGTATTCTAGAAGCGAGTTAGGAGGACCTGGTAAATTTACCAGGTTCTCTTACACGGGTAATATGTAGAGCACCGAGTTAAAGGTTAACCCTCATTTCAAAAAAAATCAACCCAGAACTCGGTGTAAACGCTACTCGCTTTTTGCGTAGTAGCGTTCCTCCGCAGCCGAGGTTGGTTAACCCTTAACTCGATTTTAAAATACCGTCGCTGGATCGTAATTGTTAAGCTACTTGCCTAAATCTCTCCTCTTCCCTTACAAGAAATAGAAATGTTTTTAGGGACCTAAAGTAATGTTAGAGCTTAATTGATAATAATTCTCAAGAAATTTTATTTATTTAGCAACCCCAATATAAACTTTAATTCCGGATTAATTAGAAATAATTTAATAACATTCGTTTATGTTTTTAATATAAAATATTCTTCCCTAATAAAATGAATACAGTCGGACATACATAGCTATAAGAATGCCGGAATTATACGCCTCAATTTAAAATGCGTTTTTAACTAATTAAATGATTTCTGGGTCGGAAGTACATGTAAATTCTTACTGGAAACAACCCTCTTTAAGGATATGTTTTACGGCCTAAGGGTTATCTTATAGGTATAGTGTCCGAATGTAATATGTTAAATTAATATTTTTTATTCCATCTTCATTCCCAAATTTTAATTTAAAAAATCATCTCTTTTTAAATTTAATTCGTCCCTTCATTTTTTTAAATTATTCGGGACATTGCAAACAGTTCCCAAGGCAACATATAATGCTTCAGCTCTAGCTGGTGCCATAAACGAGTCAATTTTTCTTTCTTTTAACAAATTAGCTTTTGCCTTTTTTAATAATTTTGGGCATTCTTTAGTGAAAGTAATTGGAGCAACAAGCTTTAATGTTTTGATTAATTCTCTGGTTATTTTATCCAAAGCTGGGGCTAAAACAGTTGAATACTGTTCATAAGTTATCATTTCCGAAGGGCCACCATAAGTTGTCCATATATTCATATAAGCATTCTGAAAATTATTTTAAAGCTCTTAGAGTGATATAACTTTTCTAAGGCTAGTACCAGAGGTATGCCAGTTTCTCCTTAGCCTTTCGTCTTTTCCCTTTTTAAAAATCAGTTTCGGCACTTTCTGGAAAGTGCCATCTTCTTTCTCATGGATATTGGGGGGCCATAACAGGAACAACCCCCCTCCCCTTTTCTTACTTAATCTAATATGCCTCTACATAATTCGGCTAAAGTGTTCCTATATCCATAGTGCCATTCTTTTTATGAAAAATAAAGATCCTCCAAAATCCGACTACTAATATTATCAGAAGGTCAACAACGACGTCTGTTTTTAACAAGGAATTAGGCTTAAGATACACCCCTCTCTCTATTTTATGGATGGACCTTTTGCAGCTCTAGAAAAAACTGCTGTATCATTGTGTCCTTAAGAAAACGACCTTCAATTTTTGCCTTAGACATGTAAGAAATGTAAGAAACTTTTTCTATGTAAGAAAATGAAAAAAGTTCTTTGCCTGAGCTATCTGACTAGCATATAGCTGAGCCTCAAAAAAGTTTGTAATTATATAATCCGACGTATTAGCAATCAAATAAGCATTATATATAAAGTTATATTCGCTTGTAGTTGATCGAACTGATAATCCTTCAAGGTATTTATACATTGTCATTTTTTCAACGACATCTAAACGGGCATCAACCAAATTTATAAGGTTCTCGAGGTTTTCTGAAAATAAGAAAATGAATGGAACTAGAAGAAAAATTCATTTTGATGGGCGGACATATCGGGCTGGCATATCGAGATTGCTGGGAGAAAAATATCCTCTTGCAAAGTTACTGAGCTACCTTGCTGAGCTACATATCTGATTAGTTCTAAAACAGATAAACATTGCCCTAATGATTTCCTTCATTAGGGCAATGTACTATTCAAGACCCAGTAGCCGTAGATCCCAAAATCAATGGGCTAACTTTTTGTACTTTAAACTATCCCGATATGTCCGTCCCGATTTGTAATTCATTTTTTAAAATTTTTCCTCGGGGTTTAAAAAACCAAACTCGAATATTACAATTACTATGTCAGGTTAGTTAATAAGATTATCTTCAAATATAGTTTGAGTTGTAAACCAGGCGGGCTTTATCTTCTATATCGCCTCTTTTAACGCTTCTTCCCCAAACAATTTTACAGAATTCTCTGGAAATGACCGCCTTCGATGTTCGTGGTAGAACCCAAGTTAAATTTCCGATTTTCATAAATCAGACACCAAATTTATTCATATTAAAAAATTATTCAAAAATGAAAGGCCAACCTATAGATTTATTATTATCATCATTATCAACATTATTATCATTATTATCATCGCTCTTCATCAAAGATATAATAGTTGAAGCAACAAATAAAAATAAATAAAATTTTATTTTCATTTTTTAAATTTTTAATGAAGGATTTTTAATTAATAAAAAAATAATATGGAAACTTCAAAGCATTAACACTCGTTAAATAAACACTTCAAAACACCCTGTAGTTTGAAGCTCTAAATATAGCTATAAAGTTTGTATTTTGAATCTAAAAATGATTATAGAAGGTAAAATGGCAAACTCTTAAAAAAATTATTCTTTTTGCTTTTATTTAAAAATAATTAATTTATTTATCCCAGAGTATCAAAAAATTAATTTATCATCAACATTTAAGGAAGGCGAAGTTTTATCGAAAATAAAAACGATTACTCGGTGTTGGTTGAGTGTTTAGGAACTCTGTACATGTTTAGAAGCTCTCAGAATTAAGTCTGTCCTTTTGCTATTTTTAGGATGGCCCGGCACTTTATTATAACTAATTTAAGTAAATATTTTAGGCATTAGTTTGGTTTTTAGAATTTTTCTAAGAGAATTCTTGAGTGCGTGACAAACTCTCATAGAAAGGTGAGATCAACTAGCTTACGTTAATTTTGCTTGTACTTCCCCACAATCTTTAGCATTATTGAGTTTAATGAAATTAAAGTAGATCTTCTGGGATTAAATAAATTAAAGCAAAAAATAGAAAGTTCGTTTAAGTATGTACAGCTGGGTAAAAAATAAGAAAAAAATTTTTTTATTTTTTGTTGGGTATATTTTGGAACTGATTTATTGAATAAAATTAAATCCAAAAATATATATTCCTTTTTTAGCCGGAAAAAATTTTTTAGAAATTAATAAAAATTATTTTTATTCGTAAATAAGATTAAATCCAAAATTCAAAGGTTTATCCAACAGGCATGATTCGAGTCTGCAACCTCCTGAAAGTTATTGCTAGGCACTTTCGCTCATCATATACAGGAGCTCTACTACTGAGTTACCGGGGCATCGACTAATGTTAATTTTTATCCTTTAAGATCGTTTAACCCCCCTCCCACCGCCTAAGCGTTTTAAATGCTCTAAGTCAATCATCCTTACAATATTACAAAAGAAAATAACTTTGATGGCCAAAAAATTTAATAAAAAACTATTCTTTAATTTATTAATATCAAATTTTATTTTTATTTTCTATAAAATTAATTACTAAAAATTTTATTTTTCAATTTGTACTAAGCAAAACACGTTCTCCTTTTAATATTTTTATTTCTGAAGCTTTTGTGCCAAGTGATAAAGGTGGAATGCCTCGATTGATACGATGAGGAATTTGTTTTGGGACCATTTTAATGCAATCTGTTTGAGGAAATTAAAAGAAAAAAATTTTCTTTTTTAATAAAATTACCCGGTATAGGGCAAACACTGTGGCAAAGAGTACAGCCAGTACAATTTTCTTCATTAACATGGGCCAAATGGGAATCTCTGTCAAAGGTTATAGCCTGATATCCAGAATCATTACAAGTCATATAACTTAATTTTTTAATGTTCTTTTTAAATTTAAAAATATTTTCGAGACCATTTTCCACAGTTTATACACAAATCATCGTCAATTACGGCTACAACTTGTTGGGAATTATCCAAATCGTTATAAGCCCCAACTTTGTCTAAAGCTGTGCCTATCAAGTCCTTTTAAAAAATTAATTTTAAGGAATTTTCTACAATGTTACCTTAATCTTCGGAACTTTCTTAGGCTGGTTATCAGGACGCTTAGTGACGTAAACTTCATTATTTTTAACAAAATCCCCATTCTGTTTTACAAGCAAACCCTTTTCTAATTTATAACGTTTTTCACGGAAGTTGCCCAATGCTGGGAGATGCTAGAAAAAAATTTTTTTAATTTTCTTTCCCAATCCCTCACCGCATTCTTAAGCAACAAAGGTTTGCCTTTCTGATGTTTTTCTACAGGGGGACTTTGCCCATCCCAATCAGCCAAAGCAGAAATTCCCTGAAGGTAGAGAAGTGTCCGTAATCCACTGCAATAATCCTGGACTAAAGTGAAGTCTTGGTTTTGAACTGCCGAACAGACCTTTATTAAAATTTAACTTTCCTAAACTTCTTCAACTCTAAAAAATATTTTGGAAATTCTGACTTGCAAAACAGAAGCCCCAGCATTTAAAAATTGTAATCCGGATTCTGCACTATCAATTCCACCGGCTGCCAATATTGGAAAGCCTGGAAGTTCGTTAGCAATGGCTGAGACTGCCCGTAAAGCTATTGGTCTAATGGCGTTTCCAGAAACACCTCCATAAGTTGTTCTATTTAAAATTTATTTTTTAGCATCCCCTCTCATCCATCCATCCATCCCCCCACTCCAGTAGTTACATATACCACCCTAAATTCTGAAAAAAAAGAGGGCATGCCCACTCCTTGAGCAGGCTGTCGGTTCTGGACCGAATCGAACCGAAGACCCGAGAATTTTTCTCTTAAGTTCGGTTTAGGATATCCAAAATTTTCGGTTTGGTTTTGGATATTCGAAGAAATTCCAGGAACCGAAACCCTACCTCTGAGCCAATACCATAAGAAGGCTACGAGGTACCTTCTCATAGTACCAATACATGTGACTGGCTATTTACCCACCATCACGTTCTTATGTAACGGGCCTGGAAGTAAATAGCCCCTTCTACATATAATATTATTACAATTTATTCCTTCCAACACTTGGCCAAGCACTAGAATCTGAACGCAATCCCATAAGGCCTGAAACTGTATTTGTTGCTGTCACACCATCCGCACCTCCTTCTTTAGCTGCTATAGCAATTTTGCGAATGTCAGTTATATTCGGAGTCATTTTAGGGAAGAATGGAATCTTTTTTTGGATATTAAACAGAATTATTGGAACAACTTAATCACCTTAACAGCACTCCTCACCCACAGAGAAATTTGTTTAACCATTTCAGTGTCTTGCCCACAAGCCAACCCCATTCCCCTTTCCCCCATTCCATGAGGACAAGAAAGGTTTAATTCGAGCGCATCTGCGCCTGCAGCTTCAGAACGAACAGCTAGTTCTGTCCAGTCATCCTTTAAAATATTTTCTAGCTTGAAAAATTATTTCTTTGACAGACTTTGTCAAAGCTAGCCATAATTGAAGCAATTACTATTTTTGTTGGAAAATCTTTTTTTAATTCTTTAATGCATTCTAGCCAATACTTTTTTGAATAAAAATTTTTTTCAGACATTCTATATTTTAATACCTCAGCAGTTTTCTCAGAAATTAGTTCAATATTAAGAAAAGAGCCCTGTCCTGGGCCATAGATTGGCCCACTGGTTGTTCCACGTACTATTCTTGGTGATACATTTGTTACTAAATCCTGTGTGGAATTTATTTAGGTTTTATTTGGATGTCCTTTTTTTATTTTCGATTGTCTAAAGAGTTCATGACAGCTATAAAACAATTACAGATCACCTCCTCCTCAGAATTCGGTTAATAGTCCCTACAACGCTTAATCAATCACATAAGGACTTTATTAGAGTTAACTTTTTCTTTATAGCCAATCAAGAAACAAATTATTAGGAATTAATATTCATGCTAGAGTTACATATATCTTTCCAACTCCAAAGCCTAACCAAAATCATCCGGGACGATATTATAAAAAAGGGGGTATATCTCCAACTGTGGGTAATCACGAGGTCTGGACTACGAGTTAACCTTAACACGGTTAACTCGTAGGAGAACTGGCAATCACCCCTGATATCCCTCACATTTCATAAAATCTATTGTTGGCTCTCTACCTTATCCAATCCAAAAGTTTTTGTTAACACAAAAGACCATCCTTGTTCAAAAGCCCGTCTACACATTGCACCAGTTGTAGTTGGGGGAGCAGAAGCAAGGCCAAAAGGATGTTCAAACCGAATACCACACATTTCTACAGACAAATCAATCTAATCAGGGGAAAAATATTTTACAGAATTTTATTATTCTGATAAATTGCCTCATCAATAGGAGTACAGAAAAGGGGTAATTCTGGTTTTTCTGATATTGAAAAGCCATATAATGATTGGATATAACGGTGGATATGCCAGGCGGCTGTTTTGCCATCATTAACAGATTCCTTTAATTTTTAGAGGAATAATTAGGGGAATTTTTAGAGAAATTTTTTCCAAACCACAGTAGTTTCAGCAACTCCAGCCACATCCCCTCCCAAAAATACCCAATTTTCTGAACTTTGTTGAGTTCTAGTATCAACTATAGGAATTCCATTATTGTCAAATTTTAAAGGCTTGAGTGCTTCCTTTACTTAAATAATTAAATTTTTATTGATTCCAAATCAGGAAAGAACCTTCAGGATCAACTAAATCCGATCCAAAGGCACTAATAACCCAATCAGCTCGCAAAGTAAGGGTTTGATCAACATCCTCAACCCACTGACCATCCAATTCTTGTTCCATTTTGGCAAATTCACTTAATTTAATTTACTAAAAATTAATTCTGGCCTTTCAACCTACACAGAAACAATGCGTCCGTCTCTCATATTCACCTTTCTTGGGGACATGAAGGGCATAAATTCGCACTTTTCTTCCCTTGCCGCTTCCATCTTTAATTTTTTAAGAAATTTGGATAGGAAAAGAAAATCGGAGACATAACAAAGACAATGCCATTTTGTTGGCAATGTTCCATACGGAGGGAAATCGTTTGAAGGGAACATTCTCTCATTAAAATGAATGTATACAATAAATTAAATACCTCTTCTGGAACAGCGCGTATTGCAGTAAATCCCTTGAAATTAAATAAAATATTTTATAATCTCTAATATAATTCTTATGCCGGGTTTCGGGGAAACATCCCAGGTAGATAGCGTGTGATAGGTAAAGTTTTACTCCGTTCCCTACCCGAAAGGGGAATTCGAGACTTTTAAAATTCGCCGCCCCCCTCCGTGGCGTTGCCTCTCCAAATATTTTCCCCTTGGTCCTCCCCCCATCGGAAATCAACCCTAGTCATAGCTAAGTTTTAGTTCTGTTCACTCACCCTCCGAAAGACTACAGTCACTTTCTTGGCCCCACATCGTAATGAAGATGTAGCACAATCAAAAGCAGTATCCCCCGCTCCCAATACCAATACTCGTCCATTTAATTTAGGCAATTTAGGGGTTTTGGAGGAACAAGCACAATTGCTACACGAATTATTAAGTATTCCTTCATTTTTGAATTTTATTTAAAATTTTAACAATTAATGTCAAAAACTAGCCTTTTTTGCTAGCAATAGACACAAGAGGTAAGAATTCTTTGGAGGTATAAAATCCATTTTTGGGTTCCAACCCTTGAAAGATGGGGGCTCTTTTAGGTTCAGGCAATCCAATCCCAATAAAGACAGCTTTGCAACCAGAGGCTTTCAATTTTTCCAAGGTCAAGTCATTCCTGTGAAGTTGACGACCTGTGACTATCTTTAATAATAAAGAAGGGTCTATAAAAACAAATTGCCAAACTTTAATCCCGAGATCCTTGGCTAATTGAATTTCAAAGTCAACCACGTTATAAGGCAACCGATATTGAGGAATTTCGGAAGAACTAAAAATTATTTAATTTTTAAAAATAATTTTTATATAAAACTAGAGTTCAACATTTTCAAATTGCCGGACTCGATATCGAAAAAATTGCCGGGCTCGGTATAAGGTGTCCCGGGCTTGGTTTTTTGGGATAAACCCTTGAAAAAAATACCCAGAATTAGGAGAAATTTAGTATCTAGTAAATACCCAGTTTTCGGGCTACTGGGCACGGAAAACGATCTCGAACTAATGTCGAACTCTACAAAAAACCCACCTTAGCCCCCCTAAATATTCCTCCTTTTCATAAATTGTTAAATTTGTATAGCCAAGTCTTGCTAAAAAGCTAGCACAGGATATACTTGCCGGACCACTGCCAAGGAAAGCAATTTGCTGCTTATGTGCCTCGTTTCGATTTTTAATTATTTCAGGGCTAACAATTTGGCGTATATTCATTTTCATAAAAATCTGATTTTCAAAATTTAAAATTATTTTCTAGAAGATTTTTATACTTCCGTTGCAAATTGTTGCAGACCCCCAATATTGATGGGCCCTTCTTCTGTTGCGTATAAATTACAAGAGCCGACACAGAGGTCTGAGGTTGGACATACCATTCCACATGTTAAGCTAATTAAGTAGTTAAAAGGGAGGAATAATTTTTGAAAATACATATCTTACCCAAGAGGATTATCAGAAAATATTAGTTTTGCAGCACCATAATAATTCTATAAAAATTAAAGAAATTTTAAGATTATTTTTAGAGAGAAATTTCAGCTTTCATGAAGCTCATTCTATGGAGTTGTAATCGGAACCTCATTAATAAGAGTATAGAATTTAAGGGGTTTGGCACACATTAGATGCAGTGATGTCAAAGTTCCAGTTCCAGTTCCGGAACTAATTAGTTCTAGTTCCAGTTCCGGAACTAGAACTACGGAACTAACGATTATCTGGAACTAGTTTGGAACTAGAACTACGGAACTAGTAAATGCCTGGAACTAGCTTGGAACTGGAACTACGGAACTAGTAAATGTCTGGAACTAGCTTTGGAACTAGTTCTGGAACTAGTTCTTGGGGGTGTATTTTTGACAAAATTTCTTCGAAAATTACCTGCAGCGCGCTGAGTATGGAAGAAATCTGGCTGCTTGAGCTCCAAAATTTTAAAAATTTTCGCCTGCGGCGCTGAAAAAGTGAATTTTTTCGGCCGATGAGCTTCGATATTCTAAAAATTTTCGCCTGCGGCGCTGAAAAAGTGGATTTTTTTGGCCTCTTAATCCTCCAGTTTATCCTTCAATCTCCTTAAATCCTCCGTTATCACTCATAATCCTCTTATAACCCAGATTGTCTCGTGTCAAATGCACACTCCCACAATGCTCCGTGTTTTGTCGAGTGTCAAGTGTTCCGTGCGAGCATCCGTGCGTGCGTCCGTGTCAAGTGCACCCTCCCATAATGACATCCGTGTCAAGTGTTGACAGAGAGTACATGGTGAAGACTGCATGAGAAACCACTCGACACTCAACACTCGAAACGGCCGACTATCAAGTGTTAAGTGTCGAGTAGTACATATCCTTCCTACATTGAAATAAAAAAGGCGCGGACCAAAACACTTGATACTCAACACTCGACACGGATCAATTGTTAGAGTAGTGTTATGCCTTTATTTGTTAAAATTGATAAATCCTTTCATATTCAAAAATTTAAAAATTTGGAACTAGAACTAGCTTGGAACTAGTTCCAGAACTGGAACTGGAACTAAGGAATTTCAAAAATGGAGTTCCGGAACTGGAACTGGAACTACAAAAATTAAAAACCTGGTTCCGGAACTGGAACTGGAACTACAAAAATTAAAAACCTAGTTCTGGAACTGGAACTAGTTCCAGAGAAATTTTGGAACTTTGACATCACTGATTAGATGTACATTATACACACCAGGGGTGGCGCTCGTCTCGTGTCTGGTATTTTGTGCACTTGCGCCACCCCTGCTACATACCATTGATTGCGCCGACAGAGAACCAAATTTTCGATTTTCGGGAAACGTGAACCGTATCGGCGCGATCCCTCGTACACACTTTGGGTTGCCATTATATTCAAATTCATTTTTATTTGACCAAATATCATTTTTGGATTGACTGTCATCCATATATCACCCTCCCTACCTTATTAGCAATACTGGAAATAAAAGCTTTGATATCCAACTGTGTGGGACAGCTTTTTTGGCAAGGGGCATCTGCACATTTCAAACCTTTTAAATAATTCATAATTTATTTCCCCAAACCCAATAGCTAACTAACATCTCATAGCCTCTCTTAATGCTCCCCTCTCCGACAATGTTGTGTGTTTGATATCTCGAAAGTCATTTTCATAAAGGTTTTCTGTACATCCCTAAATAATAATTAAGCAAGTTTTGGACGATTCAGAGGTCGTTTTCCGTGAACACGGTAGGGTTACCAAGTTCTTTGCTTCTGATAAATCTTTTGATTTTTGATGAACTTCTGAGGGTTACCTCGTTACTTGTGTTTCGCCAGAAGTTCCAGTTCAGGTAGGCCGGAAGTTTCCGGATTTTTTGGTTCCGGTTCCGGCTTGTTTGTAAAGTTCCGGTTCCTTATCCGGTCAAAATTTCAGTTCCAGTTCCGGCCAAATTTTCGGTTCCGGCGAAACACTACTTGTTACCCAGTAACTCGTTCTTCGAATACCCCCCTTAGTAAATTAAACGTTTTAATAATCCCCTTACATTACAAGATTTATTAGCATTTCTTTTCCATCTATGCTTTTCCAATTTAGTTTCACAACTTGGCTTTAAAGTTGCATTTAATTGAACTCGAGGATTTAGCTCTAGGAGAGACTGTTAAAAAAATTTTTTTTAATTTTCTTTTACAATTTTCAATAAAATACCTCAATATCCGGTGAATCTTTAGTATATTCTCCGTTTATAATACCCATTTAAATTAATAAAAATAATTATTATTTATTTAATATTTATTTTTTTATTCTTATCTAATGACTTTAAGTATAATAATTTATTTGAACAAATAATTTATTGGCTGAATGCAAGGTGTAATCAGCAAATATTTTATTTGTTCTTTATTTTTAATCGATTTTTATCACACGACGGGCCTTTTACTTGAGAAAATTAATTAAAATAAAAATTAAATAATAATGGAATAAATTTTTAAAAAATTTAATATTAAATGGTAGCAATTTATTTTTATTTGGATTTTAATAATAAAGGGTTAATAAGATTCTAAAAAAAGTGTCTTTATTTTAAATAAAGAATTAATAGGTAGTAAGTTTATTTATTATAATTTTATTAATTTGTAAATTTATTATTAAATTAATTTATTGAATAAAAATTAAAGCAAAAGAAATATTAATTAATTAACTCTCAATAACAACACCCTCTCGGGCCGCGTTGAAACGTAGGGGAGGAAAGTGTGTTAAGGAGCGTTGATAAGAGAAATTTTAGTTATTGAGGGAGAAAAAAATATTTGAATAAAAAAATTAAATAAATTTATTTACATCAAAACAATGTTCCTTTTCATTCTGAGGACGGCATAGGATGGGTTGGTCGATTAATACACCTATAGGGAAAAAAAAATAATTTTTTCGAAAATCTTTTCAAAAAATCACCGGCCAAAGAAGCAGTCAAAAAACAAGAAATACAGCCTGCCAAAAGGGAGCGTAATGCTAATTGGGATAAAAGTCTTTTTCTGGAGGGGACCATTCCCCCAAGTGTCCCAAGTTGGATTCCGATGGATGTAAAGTTTGAAAAGCCGCATAACGCATAGGTAGCTATCATTGCAGAACGAGGCTTAAAAATGAATAAATTTGAGTGAATGTTAGGTCAGAAATTTAAAATTAATTTGATTCTGATTTTAATGTTTATTTTCAATTCTGATTTAAAGCTTGAGTCTTTGTTTTTCTCTTATTTTATTTAAATTCTGATTCTGTTTGTTCATATTAAATTCTGATTTCACGTTTGTTTATATTTAATTCTGATTTTGTTTGTTTCTAATTCTGATTTTCTTAAGTTCATTTAAAATTCTAATATTGTTCTTTAAAATTCTGATTTTCAAGTTAATTTTTAGGTTTTAACAATTTCAGAATTTCACCCAAAAATAGCATCTTCGTACCGAAAGTTTATCTTGTTTGACTAGCTGGCCAAGCTGTTTATAGGCCACAAATTCATTTAACGCAGTCTTTGTACCCATTAATTGTGCCACAATAAATGTTTCTCCCGGATTTGTAACACCCATAACAAAAGCAAGAGGGAAAAATAAATAACCAAGAAAAAGCTAAGAAAAAATCAGAAAATAAACTTGGAAATAATTGTTCTGATTTTTTGATGTTTATTTAAAATTCTGATTTAATAAATTCTGATTTATGTACCAATTGTTATTTCAGGCTTTAATTAAAATTCTGATTTTTTAAGTTCATTTATAATTCTGATTTTAAGACTATTTTCAGGTTTTAACAATTTCAGAATTTAAAATTCTGATTTAAGTTTTAGTTGTTATTTCAAGTTTTATTAAAATTCTGATTTATGTTCGCATTTAAATGTTTAACAAAATTCTGATTTTCATCAAAACATTAAAAACTTGCTTCAAAACTCCACCCGTGTTGTCCAACTAATTCTCCCATCCACCCCAAAACAGAATTTACTAAAGCAAGCAATGCTAAAAAAACAATTAAATTCGCTATAATCGCAACTACAAGTTGTACTGCCATTACAGCCCCATTGCTTACACTTTCCAACATATTTGTCTCTTCTCCTTTGGGTAATTCCAAATCTTCAACATTAACTAATTGGCTTTGTTCTGACTCTGGATAGAGTATCTTTTGATAAAATTATTTATTGAAATTCGAGAAAAGATAAACTTTAGAACAGGCTAGAGATCCAGGAGCAGACATTACTGTAGCTGATAGTAAATAACGAGGGCAGGCACCAAAACTTGAATTTATATTTAAAAATTCTGATTTAAATTCTGATTTTTATATTCTCAGAAATTCTGATTTTAATTTTAATTCTGATTTTACGTTTATTCTTCAATTCTGATTTCAAGTTTAGTTACTATTTTTAATTCTGATTTTAAATTATTTTCCAAACATTCTGATTTGAAGTTTAATTGTTAAATAATAATTCAAGTTATTTAGCCTCAGAAATTCTGATTTTGTTTTTTCCAAAAATTCTGATTTTAGATTTTCAAGTTTCATTTATTTTGAATCTGATATTAAATTTATTCTGATTCAAATTTTATTCTCAGAAATTCTGATTTTAAATTATTTTTCAGTAATTCTGATTTAAATTATTTTTCAGTAATTCTGATTTAAAGTTTTACCTAATATAAGTTGCAAAGACAGCCCCAGCAATACAAGAAAATCCTGTTGTCATAACAGCGTGTAATTCGAAAAGAGGAATATCATTTAGAAATAATTTTTAAAAAACCAGAAGCAGTCATTTTTTCTAAATAAGGCCGAATTAAAAGTGGAGCTTCACTCATTCCAAAGAAAACACAGGCACAAGCATTTAAAGATTCCGTGGCCGTTGTTTTTAATGTTAATTGGACGAACCTTTATTTTTTTAATAAATTAATAAACTTAACTTGTTTTTTAATTATTTAAAAATTCCAGTTAGAAATTATATGTGCTATAGAAGTTTGTTTATTTAAAATTCTGAATCCAAGTTTAATTAAAATTCTGATTAAAAAATTTGTAGTAAGTTTAAAATTCTGAATCGAGTTTATTATTAAAAATTCTGTTTTTAAAATTTTTCAGAAATGTTTTTTGGATTAATAAGTTAACGGAAAAGTTGTTCTTAAACATTAAAATGTTTGAAATTTATTCTGATTATGGCTGTGCGCAATGGGTATTGGCGTTTTTGACTTTCTTCTATAAACCTAATTTGTCTTTTATTTTTTAACTAAAAATAAATTTTAAAGAATTTTCAATTTACCATGCCATCTTTTTAATAACAAATTGTAAAATGCCAAAATGGTACAGTAATGCCTATTAAGGGAGAATAAAAAAAGAAAAATTTTTCTATAATTTTACCACAACAGACCCAAAATAAACAACAACTTGAATACCCCTAAAAGCAAAAATGGGCTCCATTCCACAAATATTTGGAGGGGAAGAGACAAATCCATAAACAAAATCTGTCCCATTATGTGTAAATTCGAGGAAAACGAGAACAGAATCCTTTCAAATAATTTTTAAAATTAAAAAAAAAAATTCAGAAAAAACCGCAAATTTATTAAACATAGTAGATCCCCATTCCCACCGTAAAATACAAAGACCCAGTGCAAATTGTAAAAAGAATCCAAAAATTACTGGATGCCAAACAATCTGTGGGGGAAAGTTTTAATTAAATATTTGAGGAAAATTTAAAAACTTTGGAAGCATTATGGGAGAATAATACCATTAATAAAATATAAAAAATAATTCCGAAGAGTCCCAAAAGACGTTGTTTTGATCTTTAATTTTGAAAGAAGTAAAAAAAATTAATTGAGAGGACCTGTAGGTATCAAAAGCCAAGAAAATGGCAATTGCACAAAATATAAGAATATATAAAATACTAAAAAAGGAAAATATTTATTTTTAAAGAATAGCTAAGCTCACCCCCAAAGCTAGGTTTCGGATTCGTGTATCAAAAACCGAAAAAATTCCTGATATCCAGAGACTAGATATCACTCAATTTAAAATAAATTTTTAACAATTTTTGACTATTGGCTGAAGAAAAGCTGCCTAATAAGGGATGGATTTTTTTCCGCCTTCCGTCTTTTGCCGAAATCTTACGTTTCCGTCTTCCCTGCAGCCTATAACTTATGCGTAAAATTAAAAATACACCCCAAAATAAGATACCCAATTTCTCACCCCTAAAGGGTGTAGCTCAAAGTGAGTTTAGTTATAATAAAGAATTTTTAAAATAAAAATATTTTAATTTTAAACAAACATTTGGCTGTTGGATTGTCTAAAAATATTGTCAAGTTTTAAATGTAAAAATTGAAATAATTTATTTAAGGGTTGTGAAAGAAATTTAGATTTAATCCAAAAAAACCAACAGACAGCCGTCAATATTAAAAGGCCAAAAACTCGTTGAAAAGAATTGAGAACAGCGAGAACTGATTTTTTAAATAAATAAATTTGTTGTGAATACAATATTTTGTTTAGATCCGGAAAATGTTTCCGGAAAAATTTAAATAGGTATTCAGTAAAAACATAAAATGTCTATTCTATTTTCCGGAAAGTTCTATATTTTCCGCAGAAGATGAATATTATGAGAGTGTATATTCCGGAAATGGTAATATGTTCCGGAAACTTGAATTTTAATAAATTTTTTATTCCGAGAAAGTATTTTCCGGAAAAGCTTGTATTTTCCGGAATGTTTTATATTTTCCGGAAAGTTCTATATTTTTCGGAGAAAATGAATATTACAAGAGTGTATTTTCCGGAAATGGTAATATATTCCGAAAAACTTGACTTTAATAAAGCTTTTTATTCTGAGAAAGTTGTTTCCGGAAAAGATTTGTATTCAACTTTCACCAAAAATATAGATACAAATAATTCCGGAAAGGATTTAAAAAAACTTTTGGTAGCATCTATACTTTCCGGAAGGTTTTGTATTTTCCGGAATAACTATATTTTCTAGTTATTTACATATTTTTTAGAGTTTACCGGAAGTTCCGATTCCGGAAAGTTCCGGTGTTTTTTTTTGTTCCGGTTCTGGGTACCGGAACTCAAATAGGATCCGGTTCCGGTCAAAATTTCGGTTCCGGTGAAACACTAATACGTAATTTCCTGTTTCTCTATTAATTTAAAATATTTTCCCGTCAGAAAAAAAATTTGTTTTTCAAGAATAATTTAAAAATATTTAAAGAAAAATACCTAAAAAAGAATGCCAAAGCACAATTAAAACAATTTTTCCAAATTCCTTTAAACTTTCAGAATTTTCGGTAATTAATTTATTTATTGTTGTTTGTGCATAATTAAGAAGGTGAAAAGGCTTTTTATTAAAAATTAAATTATTTTTATTATTTTTCTCTTTTAAATTTGAATTATTTATTTGTTGTGTATTATTATTTAATGTTTCCTCATTTTCTTTATTTTCTCCAATTTTAATTCTTGTTGTTAAATCCATTTTAAAATTAATTATTTCTGATAGAAAATATTTTTTTAATTAAAGAAAAATCAAAAAATTCTTTTATTAAGATCTAAACTTGAAAAAATAAAAATAGAAGACGGGGAGGAGCATTTAAAAATGTAAGAGTTTGTTAAATTTAGCGTGATTGCGCAAGCTTTCTTATTTGGGTTTTTTCTGCAATAATTTTTAATAAATGTGGAAAATTATGTATGTTAATTTAAAAAATAAAATAAAATAATTTTTTAAATAAATTTTTTATTAAAAAGTTATTCTTAAACGATTTAAATATTTTTAAAAATATACAAATATAGACAAAGGATTATAAAATTTTATAAAAATAAATACTGATCGATGCGGGTCAGGAAAAAGAAATAGGTATATAAAATGTATGTTTATAAAAAAAAGATTAAATTAAATACAGATTTTTCAATTTACAAAAAAAAATTCTTATTAACTATTTATGTATATACGATCATGAGGGGAGAGATAGTAAAACTTGGCTTTATGAAACTGTAAAAAAATACATAAATAAATAAATTTAAATATTTTATAAAAATATTCTTTTTGGGTGTTATTTAATTTGTTTTAAAAATTAAAAAAAAATTTTTTTATTAAATATTTGTAAAGCTATAAACTGCAATAACCTAAACATTGACATTTTCGTTCAAATTTCTACTATTTTAAGCATAATTTCCGAAAATAATTAACTAAAAATTCTGAAATTGTTAGATTAAGTAATTGACATAGTCAAAAATATTTATAAAATTTATGATATTATTTTGGCTATATAAATAATGTACTAGAGATTTGCGCCTCAACCCACGAAAAAAATAATTTAAAAAGAATTAAAAGGGAAATCTTTATGACAATAATAAAATTGTATTAGAAAAAAAATAAAATGTTATTTACGAATTATTTGTAAATTTAAATCAATTATTTGAGTGTTTATTTGTATAAAATAGGTAAAAGGAAATAAAAATTTTTTACCTTAAAAATCACGAATTTGTAGGTAAATTGTTTGGTTATGTTTTTCAGTAATCAGAATTAATTTACAACATTTGGGAAAATCAGAATTATTCGTTACCCATTAATTATTTACAAAATCAGAATTTAATTAAAACATTAAAATCAGAATCAGAATTTTTTAAAAACATTAAAATCAGAATTTCTTTTCAACATTAAAACCAGAATATAATTTAAACATTTTTATCTGACATTTAATAGATTAATATATAAACTTGTTATAAAAACAAAATAAAAACATTTTACTAAAAATTTTAATTGAAAAAATAATTCTTGCAGAAGTTGCGACTAAGCTAGCAATAAATAAGCCTTTAAATAAATATTTTCGTTATTTTTAAAATGAGTGTTTGATGATATTCTCTCTCTATTTTTTTATTTAATTAAAAGGGTTGAGTAATTTTTAATTTGAAAAAATCTTTGCTTAAAGATGTCTCTACTTTTTGAAAATATTAAGTAAATACAAGAGTAAAAAAAAGTAAGATAAATGTTCAACTTTTTTTAGGATGAAGCATTTGCAGTCTGTTTATCCGTTCTTAGAGAATATTTTAAAGTTCATAAACTCGTCACCTTTCTAAAATACATACTCCCCCTTTAGACAACGATCAGAAAAATGGTCAAGAAAAATAATTCTTGTAGGAAATAATCTCACATGAGGTTCCCCTCACAACGGGAAACTCTATTTAGGAACTACTACCATAATTACATATAGGTATGCAGCAAAACCACGAGAGATGGTACACCCCAAGGTACTTCAGAGCTATAACCTCGTTTCGAATTGTCGGATCCGGGACGCCATGGTATGGTTCGATGCGCCTCGAAAAGCTGAATCGAACCATACTAGGGCGTCCCAGGTTCAATAATTTTAAATGAAGTATCTAAGGCAAGGCAAAAAATTTAAGCTGTTCTGATTTTCGGCGTCTTCATCATTCCCTATCGAAATGATGGTGTCGAAGTATAATTTTTTTATTGCTTTGCCAGCTCTAATCAGATGGATAGATTTGAACTCATACATATTTATCATAACACACTCCTTTCATATAATACATAGATTAAATATTTTTTTGTAGAAATATATGTACATATTTATTATTTATTTACAGATTTCAATTTATTTTAATTTACTTCTCCCAATATTTATTCAATTTTCAATCGCTTTTTATTCATACACCTTTACAATTGTCGCGAAGCGACTAAGGATGAGGAAAATAAAATAAATATATTTTTATAATTTTAATTTATTTCGAAATTAATCATCATTTATTGCAAATTCCTTTTTCGGACTTTTACCTTCTAAAAAACCATTTTTTATGTAAACATCTATTCAAACTCTGTTTACATTTTTAGCTCTTTTGTTCTAAAACTTAACTTAATTTTCCACTCTTTTGTATTATTCAAAATATGTGCATTTTATCTAATCGTTCCTATTATGCCTTTAATGATCGAAATATTTTTCTGTCTACCCGCCTATTTTTCTGGCCTATATAATCTCCCCTTCCAAACCCCAATTAGCTTTTTGTGTTTAGCTCGCTTCTTTCTGTTTGAGCTTCTTTCGGTGCTTCGCTTGCTTCTGTTCTAGCTTTCATTCTGGGGTTTGGTGAGCTTCTCTTGAACTGTTCTTTGCTGTATTAACGCTGTGTTTTTAAATTGGAAATAAAACTTTATTAATTGATTGAAGTCTTTTTTTTGGTTGGAATAAACTTAGGCAAAAATTTGCTTGGTAGAAAAAACCTTACTGAGATTTGAGCTCTCTCTCCATATATTTTTTGGTGCAACGGCCGGGAACCGGGCCGCCTACAATTTGCTACTCTTGTCTAACCTTGGTTTGGAAGTGCTATTCAAATGTCCGGAAGAATTAGACGAAACCTGAACGCTGCCTTGAAAACCATTCAAGAGCATACTGCCGAGGCCAATCGAATTATTGCTGAGGAAAATGATGAGGATACCCGCAGAAAGCTGAAGCTGGAAAAAGCACATATTGAGACTACTATTGGAAGGATTGAGGAATTGGATGCCCAATGGAGTGATTATGTGACAAGCTTAGAAGGGCCGCAAAAAATGGCTGAGGAGTCACTATATCTAGATTTTCCGCCCCTATGTGCTGGTATGGAAAGGGAGGAAGGGCAGGAAGTACCGTTAGCTCAACGTCATTTTGTGGATCAATGCGAATTTGCCCGTCAAGTTGTTGTGCTAATTGAACAAACCATGGAAGATCTTGGCCAGTCTAGAAGCGGTTCACGTCAATCTGCAATGAGCGAAGT